CTCTTACCCAACAGCCCCTGCCTCCCTCTCTCAAAGTAGCCCCTACCTCCCCTAACCCAGGCCCCCCTCACACCCAGCAGCCCCTATCTCCTCCTCTCACACCTAGCAGCCAGACTCTCCTCCTAACCCATCCCTATCTTACCCACAGATCCTCCGGCCCACTCACCCAGCAACCCCTGTCACCCCTTTTCTCACCCAGCAGCCCCATGCCCCCTTCTCACACCCTGCAGCCCCATGCCTCCCTCTCACACCCTCCAGCCCCATGACCCCCCTCTCACGCCCTGCAGCCCCTCTCACACCCTGTAGCCCCATGTCCCCTTCTCACACTCTGCAGTCCAATGTCTCCCTTCCACACTCTAGATCTCCTATTCCCCCTCTCACACAACATTCCCTCTCCTCTCCCCACACACACACATCCCTATGCCCTGCACACTACACATTGGCTGTCCTGTGGGCACTAAACAGATATACCCACTTTGGAGAGGCATGCATTTCACTGGTGATGACACAACATTCACCCTCTCAAGCCGCTTCCCTCCTAGGGCTGCTCTGCCTTTAAATGCCCAGGCTGAATTTTTGTCCCAGTCCGGCCCTGATGCTATGTATCACACACTATACAGCAATACTCATTTATCTGTAGTAGTAGTAAAATGCGTTGTAAGATATGCAGATATTCATTGTAAATTATGCATATTCCAAATTTCTTGATTTAATTAGCTGAGTGATGACAGCAGGCTCTGTAGAATGGAATTAGTGCCTGTATACGAAAAGTTTTATCATCATGACATGATTAGAAATAAATAGTATTGACAATAAAGAAAACCCAGAGAATGTAAACGCCTACCGATGTAGACATATATTTGAATTCTTTTGCTTTTTTCATTATCTCTGACCAACTCTGTCATGTGCTCTTACATAGAAACATAAAATGTGATGGCAGATAAGAACTATTCTGCCCATCTAGTCTGTCCAATTTTCTTAATACCTTTATTAGTCCCTAGCTTAATAATATTATATCTAGGATTGTCCAATGTCTATCCCATGCATGCTTAAAGGGATACTCCACTGTCCAAATACAAAGTAAATAAAAAATTGCTGTTTAGTAGATATACTCCAAATGAAAAAATGCATGCATTTAATTATGTATTTTTCATTGGGGGTAAATCTAAACACAGCTTGCAAAACCTGCAATTCTCTTGTCTGCTGCCTTTGCAAACCTCTACTTTCTAATCACACCCAGATTTTCCTGTGGCTGTCCAATCACAGACTCCCAATGGTGCTCAGTGAACAATATCAGGAGCTATGGGCAACTGCTGCCTCTGAGTTCATCTTCACTGAACTAATCAAACCATGAAGTAACAGGATCTACCGTCTGATTGAAAGCCAAGGGCTTGTAAATAGGTTAATTTATAAAAGTGTTGATTTCCATTGAAATCTGTGCTTTTTCAAAAATTAAAAAAACAGGACCCACTCTTCTACTATCATCAATAATTCTTCTTATGCATATGGTTTGTCATAACCCCTCCTCTTTTTATCCATAAAACTAAACAAATTTGTCAGCTTATAGGGGATAGCTTATAGCAGCGTTTCCCAATTGGTGTTCTAGGGTTCCGTGGAAGACTAATTGGGCTTCCACCAAAAATTTTCAAAATAAAATCGCCGCGGGCGGTGAGGGAGCAGTGAGCAGTGATCTCCCTGCTCAGTTTCCTCACGCGCAGAGCAGTGATGCTGGAGTCGGAATATGACGTCACTCCAGCTCCGGCACCACTAAGAGGTGCATGAAGGAGCTGAGCAGGGAGATCACTGCTCCCTCGTTGCCTGCACGTCAGCCGCTCAGCAGCCCCACTGGACCACAGGGACTCCATGCTAGCCGCCCAGCATCCCCACTGGACCCCAGGGACTCCATGCTAGCCGCCCAGCATCCCCACTGGACCCCAGGGACTCCATGTCAGCACTCCTAAAGGTATGGGGGCAGGGTGGAGTAAAATGTTAAAAATAAATAAATTGTATGTGTGTCTGTCAAAGAGTATATGTGTGTTTGTCAGTTAGAGTGAATGTGTGCTGGTCAGTGAGTGTGTGAGAGTGTATGTGTTTGTTAGTGAGAATGTATCTGTTCTTGTCAATGAGAGTGTATATGTGTTTGTATGTGTGTCTGTAAAATAGTGTGTTTGTCTGTCAGTGAGAGTGTATGTGTGTCTGTCAAAGAGTGTCTGTGTTTGTCAGTAAGAGTGTATGTGTGTCTGTCAAAGAGTGTGTGTGTGTGTTTGTCAGTGAGAGTGTATGTGTGTCTGTCAAAGAGTGTGTGTGTTTGTCAGTGAGAGTGTATGTGTGTCTGTCAAAGAGTGTGTGTGTTTGTCAGTGAGAGTGTATGTGTGTCTGTCAAAGAGTGTGTGTGTTTGTCAGTGAGAGTGTATGTGTGTCTGTCAAAGAGTGTGTGTGTTTGTCAGTGAGAGTGTATGTGTGTCTGTCAAAGAGTGTGTGTGTTTGTCAGTGAGAGTGTATGTGTGTCTGTCAAAGAGTGTGTGTGTTTGTCAGTGAGACTGTATGTGTGTCTGTCAAAGAGTATGTGTGTTTGTCAGTGAGAGTGTATGTGTGTCTGTCAAATAGCATGTGTGTATCTGTGTGTCAAGGTTTGTGTATGTGTCACTGTGTGTATCTAAGTGTATGTGTGTGTGTATGCATGTGTATGCATGTGTGTGTGTGCGCGTGTGTGTATCTGAGTGTGTCAGTGTGTGTATGTGCCAGTGTGTATCTGTGGGTGCAAGTGTGTGTATGTCACTGTGTGTATCTGAGTGTGTGTATTTGTGAGTCAAGATGTGTGTGTCAGTGTGTATCTGAGTGTGTGTATCTGTGTGTCAGTGTGTATCTGTGTGCCAGTGTGTGTGTTTATCTGTGTGTCAAATACATATATACACACACAGTGATACACACTGACACAGAGATACACACACTGGTGCATACAAACACAGATATACACACCTTGACACTTACCGGCACATGCAAACACAGATACACCCACTTTGAAACATAGATACACACACCTTGATACACAGATACATACATACACACACACACACAGATATACACTGTGTGTCAAGGTGTTTTTATCTGTGTGTCAGTGTGTGTATCTGTGTGCCACTACGTGCCAGTGCGTGTGTATCTGTGTGTCAGATATACACACATACAAGCACAGATATACACAACTTGACACACACCGCACATACAAAAAAAGGCGCAATTTAAAAAAAAAAGTACAATGGGAAGGGGGATTCAACGATGTTGATACACTATGTCAAAGGGTTCCATGGGAAAAATTAATTGGGAACCCCTGGCTTATAGAGATATGCTATGATGCAAACCAACTATGTATTTATTGGTTTCTTTTGAATAATATACCGCTCAGTGTCAGAAAGCTGCTGCAAAGCTTGTACAATTGTATTTTCTTTTGAGGTATGTTTGATCACGCAGAAGAGTTGCATACTGCATGCTTTTTTAAGGGTTTTCCACAGTAATCTGGCAGCTGGTATGTGTGTGTGTGTGTGCCTTCATTCGCTTCTGCAGAATGTAAATTAAGGGATAGCATGAAAATGCATAGACTTAATTTGTTGCATCCTCTACAAATCAGCCAGCCATTTCTATGTACATTTCACCTTCCATCTTGAAAATAAACTACGGAAACAGCATCTTTACATGGCAAAAGGAAATGGGATAAGTAAACAATCTACTAATATTACAGACCGCAAAGGGTCAATATCTAAAGTATATAAGCCCATATAAGCTTGTCATTTTTAATGGAACATGCCTCTTCTTCCAGATTTATCCTAGGTCTAATATAAAAATTTTTAAATCCTTAGAGAAAGAATAACTCTCCGCAATGACTCCCTTTGGATCATTGCTCAACAAAAAGTATGTGCCCTTATTTCTTCCCAGTCATAATCATCTGATCAACTCAGTATTGAGATCAATGACCCATCACTAAATATAGAGTTGAATAGTAAAAGAATGATATTAGATATTATCTAAAGAGTATCTAGGAGTGGCTAATGGTATGTACCTTTAAAAGTTGAAACAGTATCTCATATATGGGAAAAAATAATAATTTTAAAACAACAATAACTGAATATGTCTCAATAGCTTTTCTTAAAACTTAATATAATGCTGTGAAAATACCAATGTATATAAGTCCAAATAGTTGTAGTCTCTAAGTATCTGAGTATCTTTTACTATTGCACTTTTGGGACTTTTTAGTGGAATCCCTGTTATTTCCAGTAGATTGGTATCTATAGCCATATTATTCACTCTAAACTTGAGACTTTCAATCTCAACTACAACCAAATATAGAGTTGAGCTCTAAATATAGGAAGCATGCCTTGGAAAGTTTTAAATGCACGTTTGTTGATCTTTTATTTCTGTGAATACGATTATATGTAATCTAGGAGATATGCAGCGTATGTCCAAGGAAGTGCACAAGTCTGGCACTGTGCTTTTTGCTTTAGGAAGCACATTTAGGAGGCATAAAGAAAAAATGATCCTGTCACTATGGTAGGCGTACCTATTAAAATGAAAAAGTATTTTCTACCCAGTCTGCCTCTGCAAAAGTCCACTCTGCATGAGATAAGTTCTCTTGTGTAACCAAGAACCTATTGTATTGTGCTCTTTTGAGAATTATCGTCATCAAGAACATCAGAGAAATAAGGTGTACAATAAAGGCTGAAATCATGCATATTGTAATTTTGTAAAAAAACATACATACATAAGGTGGAGCTTCTTGTATACACGTTCAAAAGATATCTGTAATCATATAAATATAAAACACAAAATAGTGCAATATTGTTGTAACAAATATAATTTTATCGAAAGGCGTGTATGGTGTCACTCACAAGTCTAGAGTTATAAACCACAAATGACTCAGATGGTAAATGCTTGTGGACTATTCCAGGATGCCCAATCCTTTCTTTTCCTCTCAATTCAGCTGGGGAACCTGGATTCTTCAATCTTTCCCAACAGAAATGGTCCACCAATGCTCCCAATATTCAGCCAAGGCTGTGGTACCCTATATATATCCACTGAATATTGGGAGCATTGGTGGACCATTTCTGTTGGAAGAATTGTGTACGGCGGTTATATGCACAATGGAAATTGCTTAGGAGAGATGGAGTCCCAGTATTGGGGGCTACTCAGAAATATGGGTTAAATTCTGTTAAGAGCCTTGCGTTAATTATTAGCACCAACCAGTGCACAGGTATTTACAATTTTAGAAAGGTGGATATTAAGATGGCCCTGCTCAAACAAGCTTACAATCTACCCTGGTAAACATGGAGACTCCAGGTAAGGCCTGATGTGTCTCACAACAAAAAGGTTCAATGCAATGTCTACCAGATAACTGCTAAAAGAGCTGCAAGGAGACTTGCATTGTGTGCTAGCACTTATACAGCTTTGCTCAGTACTCTGTTACACCTATTGTACCCTCTGTGATGCTGGCCAGTGTAACCCCGGCAGCCATTTTCTGTGGTAAAGCCTTCCTTAATCTTGGAAGGATACCCAGGGAATGCATTTGGTATTTCATTGTTTATCTTGTTATTTGAACCTGAAGACAACGCCAAAATTATATATTTTCAGCTTTAAGTATAAATTAACCCGCTCACCCAAAAGAGTTTATATTTTATTCCTAAAGGTCAGAGAAGCAGTAGATTACTCGGACAGTAAAAAGCCACTTCCAGCAAGCAGTGCTTCCAAGAAAGTATTACAACAGAAAGCCTTGGCACTTAGAAATAATCAATCAGAGATATATCTGTAGACATCATACATATAGCAAAATACATGAGGGAAGCATTTTTTAGAGAGAGACAGGAGTGCTGGCATAAGAGATCATGCTCTGAATGTGAAGCAGTAGAGAATCGTACTCTGCCGATAGTACACGGGCTGTATTGTCCTTCTATTTATACATATTTACAGTTTTACAGAAACTATTCTATATTCTCTTGTTTTGCTTGATGTGTGTAATGGTCTTACTGTAACCAAAAGTGGGATATAGATGTGGTAAACTGTTACTTTAAGAAACAACACTTTGTGGAGGAACTCTATGTTCAGTGGCCATTTTAAGTTTAACTTCAGCTGTCCAGTTGCTTGCTTCTTGATTGTATGGGAGCAGAATAAAGAACTGCTCTGTGTACCTACTGTTCAGTAGTGAGTGTCCCTGCTCTCCACCTTAAATCTGCACACAGAAAATACTAGATATTGTTAGACAGTAACAATTCTAAGTGGTAAACTGCCTGAATATAAACTCATGGAGCCTCTCTAATTTGCAATTTTGTCACCAGATTGTGTCGGATCGGGGAAGCATGACAGAAACTCTCTTCCTTTGGCAAGTGCTTACCATTACCACCCCCGGGTTAGCCCCGGGGGTGGGGCACATGCACACAGTCCCACAGCAATATGCACAGTAATACAGATATACAGGGAGTGCAGAATTATTAGGCAAATGAATATTTTGACCACATCATCCTCTTTATTCATGTTGTCTTACTCCAAGCTGTATAGGCTCGAAAGCCTACTACCAATTAAGCATATTAGGTGATGTGCATCTCTGTAATGAGAAGGTGTGTGGTCTAATGACATCAACACCCTATATCAGGTGTGCATAATTATTAGGCAACTTCCTTTCCTTTGGCAAAATGGGTCAAAAGAAGGACTTGACAGGCTCAGAAAAGTCAAAAATAGTGAGATATCTTGCAGAGGGATGCAGCACTCTTAAAATTGCAAAGCTTCTGAAGCGTGATCATCGAACAATCAAGCGTTTCATTCAAAATAGTCAACAGGGTCGCAAGAAGCGTGTGGAAAAACCAAGGCGCAAAATAACTGCCCATGAACTGAGAAAAGTCAAGCGTGCAGCTGCCACGATGCCACTTGCCACCAGTTTGGCCATATTTCAGAGCTGCAACATCACTGGAGTGCCCAAAAGCACAAGGTGTGCAATACTCAGAGACATGGCCAAGGTAAGAAAGGCTGAAAGACGACCACCACTGAACAAGACACACAAGCTGAAACGTCAAGACTGGGCCAAGAAATATCTCAAGACTTATTTTTCTAAGGTTTTATGGACTGATGAAATGAGAGTGAGTCTTGATGGGCCAGATGGATGGGCCCGTGGCTGGATTGGTAAAGGGCAGAGAGCTCCAGTCCGACTCAGACGCCAGCAAGGTGGAGGTGGAGTACTGGTTTGGGCTGGTATCATCAAAGATGAGCTTGTGGGGCCTTTTCGGGTTGAGGATGGAGTCAAGCTCAACTCCCAGTCCTACTGCCAGTTCCTGGAAGACACCTTCTTCAAGCAGTGGTACAGGAAGAAGTCTGCATCCTTCAAGAAAAACATGATTTTCATGCAGGACAATGCTCCATCACACGCGTCCAAGTACTCCACAGCGTGGCTGGCAAGAAAGGGTATAAAAGAAGAAAATCTAATGACATGGCCTCCTTGTTCACCTGATCTGAACCCCATTGAGAACCTGTGGTCCATCATCAAATGTGAGATTTACAAGGAGGGAAAACAGTACACCTCTCTGAACAGTGTCTGGGAGGCTGTGGTTGCTGCTGCACGCAATGTTGATGGTGAACAGATCAAAACACTGACAGAATCCATGGATGGCAGGCTTTTGAGTGTCCTTGCAAAGAAAGGTGGCTATATTGGTCACTGATTTGTTTTTGTTTTGTTTTTGAATGTCAGAAATGTATATTTGTGAATGTTGAGATGTTATATTGGTTTCACTGGTAATAATAAATAATTGAAATGGGTATATATTTGTTTTTTGTTAAGTTGCCTAATAATTATGCACAGTAATAGTCACCTGCACACACAGATATCCCCCTAACATAGCTATAACTAAAAACAAACTAAAAACTACTTCCAAAAATATTCAGCTTTGATATTAATGAGTTTTTGGGGTTCATTGAGAACATGGTTGTTGTTCAATAATAAAATTAATCCTCAAAAATACAACTTGCCTAATAATTCTGCACTCCCTGTACTGTCAAATAGAAACATAAAAAATAGAATGTGACGGCAGATAAGAACCATTCGGCCCATCTAGTCTGCCCAATTTTCTAAATACTTTCATTAGTCCCTGACCTTATCTTACAGTTAGGATAGCCTTATGCCTATCCGTCGCATGCCCATACTCCTTTGCTGTGTTAAGCTCTACCACTTCAGCTTAAAGGCTATTCCATGCATCCACTACTCTCTCAGTAAAGTAATACTTCCTGATATTATTTTTAAACCTTTGCCCCTCATATTTAAGACTATGTCCTCTTGTTGTGGTAGTTTTCTTCTTTTAAATAGTCTCCTCGTTTACTGTGTTGATTCCCTTTATATATTTAAATGTTTCTATCATATCCCCTCTGTCTAGTCTTTCCTCCAAGCTATACATGTTAAGATCCTTTAACCTTTCTTGGTAAGTTTTATCCTTTAATCCATGAACCAGTTTAGTAGCCCTTCTCTGAACTCTCTCTAAAGTATAAATATCCTTCTGGAGATACGGTCTCCAGTACTTCGTACAATACTCCAAGTGAGGTCTCACCATTGTTCTGTAAAATGGCATGAGCACTTCCCTCTTTCTACTGCTAATACCTTTCCCTCAACAACCAAGCATTCTGCTAGCATTTCCTGCTGCTCTATTAAATTACATGCCTACCTTTAAGTCATCAGAAATAATTACCCCTAAATCCCTTTCCTCCGATGTTGAGGTTACTCTATCAAATATTCTGCACTTTCACTTTGGTTTTTACGTCCAAGATGCATTATCTTGCACTTATCCACATTAAATGTCAGTTGCAACAACTCTGACCATTTTTCTAGTTTACCTAAATAATTTGCCATTTGGTTTATCCCTCCTGGAACATCAACCCTGTTACATATCTTAGTATCATCATCAAAAAGACATACCTTACCATCAAGACCTTCTGCAATATCACTAATAAAAATATTAAAGGGAATGGGTCCAAGTACAGATCTCTGAGGTACCCCATTGGTGACAAGACCATGCTTCAAGCATACTCCATTGACTACAACCCTCTGTTGCCTGTCACTCAGCCACTGCCTTACCCATTCAACAATATTGGAATCCAAACTTAAAGATTGCAGTTTATTGATAAGCCTTCTATGTGAACAGTGTTGCCACAGGCACACAGTCACTCACACACAGTCACAGACAAACAGTCACACACATACACACACACACACACACAGTTACAGGCAGCCTTACACAGTTACAGGTAGTCACCCACACACAGTTACAGACATACACACACTACAGTTACAGGCAGGCAGTCACACAGACATAGTCAAAGGCAGAGAGTCAAACACACACACTCTCTCTCACTTATAGACAGTATGGGCTGAAGGGGGAAGCAGGGGCACTACAATCACACTGACACAAACACATAAACAACCAAGCTCACACTGACAAGCTCACACTGACACACATCCAAGCTCACACTGACAAGCTCACTTTGACCTACAGACAAGTTTACTGATGCACACATACTGACACAAGCTCATTACAAACAAGCTTACTGACACACACATATTCTCACTGGTATGCATACATTCACTGACACTCACTGCAAGTTATTTAGAGAATAAACCCCAGTTTGGCATGGAAGGATTATTGTGTCACAATGGAATATGTACCAAAATCAATTTAAAAAAATTTAAAATTCCAGTTGAGGGGGGGCTAACCCGTAGTCATGCCCACAAAGTCAGGCACTGAATACCGCCTTTTGCATTATAGATCTAATGAAAAAAACAGTTGATCTTATAAGATCTAACGAATATCTACCAAAATCAATAAAAAAATAAAAACATTTGTTTGAGGGGGGGCCTATCCTGTAGTCACGCCCACAAACTCGGGCAGTGAATAACGCCTCTTGTGTGATAGATCCAACGAAAACCAACTGTTGATCAAACCTGATCTAATGAATACCTACCAAAATAAATAAAGAAAATGTAAAATTTAGGTTGGGGGGGGGCTAACCCGTAGCCACACCCACAAAGTCGGGCTGTGAATAACGCCTCTTGCGTGATAGATCTAATGGAAAAAAACAGTTGATCTT